GCATTCCGAATGGTTGCGTTTTCGTTCATTCTCGTCTGTGGACGAAGAAACTTCTCCTTCTTTTGCCTCTTCGGCGTTGTTTTCGGAAACTCTCATCAAAGCCTCAAACAAAAACGGTTAGGTACAACACACAACTGTCTCTCGAAGCATAGCAGCGGGCGCCGATCGATTCCCGTCTGCGGCTGCGTTCGCGTGCACTAGAGCGCCTATGCAGTGGGAGGGCGCCAACGCGCATTACAGCGGTTACAGCGCGTCGACGCGAGTTTCCGCGAAGCTTGATTTCTGCCAAATACATTGGATTATTGGGAGAGAGGGCTAGGAAGTTGCGTCGTTGGTGCGCCCTTCTTTTCTCTCCCTTTAGGAGTCGCGCCAATGACGTCGTTCCCAGATTCGCCCACTCTGCAATCGCGGACTGCCTCACTGGAGGCAGTTGGAACGGGAACTTGATTACGGTGAGTACTTTTAGTAAAAAGGAAAACCAAGCTCTAACCGAACAACGTGCAGCGTGCCTAGCAGCGAAAGGAGCACCGAAAGCCGCTCATGGTTGGTGGGGCTCAACAGTCCTTCAACTTCGCCACGAATTTTACTCCGCCCCTGAACAGCTATAGTCTTGTTGAAAGCGCATTCGGGTAGGGGACGACGCGTGAGCCCGTTCTCCACTAAATGCTAAAGTGCAACAATTTGTGAGGAAACGGGTTGTAGCCGTGCCAAATCCAGCCCCTCTCCCTGACACTCCATTGAACGCATCCGCATTGAACAAAGCTGTAGCTTGTTCGTCGTGCGCCGTTAAAGGACAAAATAAGGACCTAATTCCGTTTATTTTGGACAGTTTCACGTGGTGTTTTCCTCACTTCTACACCATGCAATACCTCTATCTTCTCTCTCAAAAGCCACTGAACCCACTGCCTTTCAACTGAACACGCCCGTTATTAACATAAGACGTCATCCGGGCAGCTGATTAGTCGGCCAAAGGGTCGCGACGCGGCTGCGGCGCGTCACGACCGCGGCGATCAGCTGTTTCCAGCCTAATTTAGCGATTTTCTCCCTAATTTTCACTGTATTTCCTATTTTTCAAGGTAAGTAGCGTTATGTCTATATGAAGTATATTAAGACGTGAACTTTTTTTTGTTCTTGTAATGGAGTCTTTTTCGCGATTTTTTAGGTATTTTTGTTTGTTTAATCGTTTAATTGTTCGCAAAAGTTAGAAAAATCTCAATCATAATTTACCTTGTGAAGACAAGGAACAGCTAACCTTGAAAAAGCAGCCAAAAACAGTGAAAAGTAGGGAGAAAATGACTAAACCAGGCCGGAAACAGCTGATCGCCGCAAACAGTTCCTACGCACGCGGTCGCTGCTGCAGCCGCGTCTGCGGCCCTTTGACGACCGCCCTAATCAACTGCCCGGATAGTGAGTGTACGATATGCAGGTGACAAACTTAACAATCACCTGTTCAGCGTCAAGAACACTGATCGGACCAATTAAACCATTCTTAGAATCTCCGCCATCCATCAAACGATGCCGTTTTCGATGACTGCGAAATGCTTTAAGTGACAAATATTCGCGGCCACATATGTTGCATACACTCCGTGTTCTATCAGTTTTGCTGCAGCTTTTCTCCTGTAACTGTACAATTTCGAAGTTTGTAGCGGAGTAATTTTGAAGGGATTCAACAAAACAACTCCAAAAATAGGTGCTAGTGTCGTTGGGATAACGAGCGGAGCCACGCGGCATGATTAAGTAACGTTCACTCTGGTCGTCTGCACTCTCTAGGGTGGGGATAAGCCACTTAGGCCGCGCTTCGTACACTTGCGATTGCAAGGAGATTCGGCGATTTCTTTTCTTGGGCGCGCAATCGCTAAGTCTCTCAAATCACCGGATCGCTCAGTCCCTCCTCAATCGCCAGATCATTAGGCCGCGTTCATACTTTGCGGCAGCGTCCACCAGCGACTGTCAGCGTTTCCTGGGTCCGTGACCGTTAGCGATCAGGAAAGTATTGATTTTGATCCAGCAAAGGGCAGCGTCTATCGGCGTACACCATCGTCCACCAGCGACCAGGAGTAGAGATTATGGGGAAGTAGGAGGGAGGAGACAGCTAGACTAAATCGTGAAATTGTGGCGTGTGCAACCGCACTGTTCTACGGCACAACACGCGTGGTAGAACGCTGGTAGACGATGGTGGACGCTGCCGATCACTAGGTCAATATCTATATTTTTCTAGTCGTTGTGACGGACGCCCAAAACACTGATGGTCGCTGGTAGACGCTGTCGCTAACTATAAACGCAGTCTTACCTATACTTTCCTCTCCGTGCTCTACATCTCTCAAATCGCTGGATCTCCTGTATCGCCGATTCCCCTAGTCGCAAAGTAAGAATCGGCCTTGATTTCCACGCTACACGCCATACGGTCCTAACAGCACACACAAATAAGTTGTTCACCAACCTCGTCTCCGTTTCCGTGCGCAGATAGCAGAGTATCGAGTTTACTTTCGTCTGTATCATGCGCCAATCGTGCATGTTCCACCAGATCCTCGTACTTCTAAACTTCCACATTTTTGCAGCTCACTTATACACTCCTATCAGCTGTGGATAAAGGGGCGTGTCAGGCAGTCTGAGTGCGACGGCGCGCAACCCGTTCTCTGGCAGCTTTTGAAATGGGTATGGGACAACAACTGGTAGAAACGAGTGATACGAACGATATGATACAGCCTTATCACTTGCTCGCTTCAACAACTGGTGGAGAACGGGTTGGCACCGCGCCAAACTCATCCCGCTTGACACGCCCCTTCGTCCGTAGCGAACTAGACTATACAGAGAAATTCAATGCGTACCTGTGTCGGCTCCTTGCAGAGTGGGCATTTGAGTGGTCTCTTACTGGGATGCTTGTCCGATTTGTGAGTCGCGAGTGCTTGTTTAGATGAATAAGTCGCATCGCATTTGTCACATTTGAGAACAGCCCGTGTCCTCAATGACACTTTCAGATCTCTTCTTTCTTTTTTGATCCTTTCAATTTCTTCCTTCACATATCCATGCTTATCGAAAAGATGACAATATAACAGCCTCCCCACGAAGTTACTGCCGCACTCAGGACAAGAATCACACCAAGCGCAACTCATATGTCTGCTAATTCAATGTAAAGAAACCTATTTCATCGACCGCCAATGGGATCTGCCAAACACAGAACAGCGCTCATAATAGCACAATTTCGGGGGCTTCGGCATTCCAAGCATTCGATTCGCGGCCAGGGTACAGCATCGTTGTGTGAACACATAAGGGGTCGTACTTTTCCGCTGGGAAGAGGGTCGTATTGGGTAGATGGAGAAGGTTGAGGGCGATCGTATGTGCTCTGCAAGAAAATTTGATGCGTTAATGAAAAAGATTATTTCCTCGACTCTTATTTCCTGTTTCATCTGTACTAATTTACCTTTCCTCCGCCGCTCTCGACGGAAAATCTTTGGGTGAAGAACTGGAAGATGTGGGTTGGTAGGAAGGTGTTCGGGAAGGGGGAGGAGACCTTGTACCGAGACCCTATTCTAGGTGGAGGGGGGGTGTACTGACACCACCATACGATGCTGTACCGTGTTCGCGATATCACGCGCAAACCAGCAGTTTCGTAGCTCTCGTATTAATTGCCTCATTTTCGTCACGAGCAAAAAAGAGCTCAATTTGCCCGACGCTTGGCGTGAGACCGCGTTCAGACTTCGCGATCGGATCGCTCGAGCGAGCAAAATTGAAATGGGCACTATGTGAACGCGGCCCAGTTCGAATTCTGCTGTTGCGGCGGTGCATCGCTTGGCTGTGGAGCGCCCCAGGTCAGATTGAGCGACCCAATCACAGCGATTCGACCGCAAAAGGTTGAACGCGGTCTAAGCGCGCATTCAGACTTGGCAATCCGATCGCGCGATCCAAACGCTCGAACTATTCGCTCCCGCAATCCAAACGTTCGGGCGATCCGAATCGGATATCTAGGTTGGAGCAGTATATTCGTTCTAAGCGTGCGCCAGGAGAGTATGGACCCAGAGCGGCTGCAACAGAGACGAGGGGCACCAATTGAGATAATAGGTTCGTCGAAAGGAAAGTGGAGGTTCACAGGAGGATATCTCCCCTCGACGGAAGTATAGCATAAGGTCCCTGAATGTGCTATAAGGCTGCGTTCATACTTAGCGTTTTGGGGCATATTCTGATAACGCGACACCTGTACTTTCTTCTAGCCAGAAAAGGCTCAAAGTGCAGACAATGCTCGAAACACGACGAAAGTAGAACGCCGCCCAAAAGTTGCGTACAGGGTGCTATACCTTGCCAACGCGGAGAATTTCGTGATTTTGGAGAATCTGCTATTCCACAGAATCCCGAATCTCGCGAACTCTCTGGAAATGCTAGTGAGGAAGGCAACCGATTCCCATTCACTCCATTGTAATTCTCTCTCGAAGTCTCAAGACGAATCTCTCAAAGCACATCCTCTCCTCATTCACGAAGTATAAACATGTCCTCGGCAACACACCCCAATCCTATAAAAAAGAAAGCAGTTCTGCTTCTTGGGAAATCTTTCACTGGCCATACGGGGAAGGGGGGGGGGCGTCCCCACATCCGATTTGACCGTGGGAGCAACTGCGCTCGCGCGAAGCGTGAACTCCACTGAGACGCTAAGAAAGGCACTTCTACTGGAGCGCGTTCATAGTTCCAATCGCGCGATCGGCCGCTCTAGCGATTGGGCTGGGCGATCCAGCCGGTTGGATAACGAAGTCTAAACGCAGCCCTAGCTCATAGCATCGCCAAAAAAAGCGCATTCAGGCTTCTGACGCTGGCTCACATTGATATTCTGCAGCATTTCCGTCCGCTTTGCACGAGTAAGGTATTAAGTTGGTATTCAATCTTGACGAATCATTCGTTTCCGAAGTTTTGACACTGATGACTGAAGAAAACAAAACTCCACCGTGGTTGTACTGTGGGTTTTGTAGATTCATACCCGTTCATTTAATACGACCATTTTTGGACTCATGTTTTTCCGTTCTGCAATTTTCTAAAACCTTCAGTTATATGCGCCCAGAAGGAAACACCAGCACTTACATTAAAAACCAGATCATTTGGTGAACAAATTTATTATCGGTAACCTTCTTGCATTCTGCACGTAACGATCCGACGCAAAGCTAGCGAGCTTTCAATTCCGCAGGATTTCTTCAATTTTCTTGTTATTACTCATGAAATCCGGCATCGTTGTTGCAAAGATGGCGATCGAGCGATTGCGAGCCAGGGATAGATTTTGGTGGGCCTGGGGAAGGAAGAAGCTACGGTGTGAGAAAACCATTTAGCTCTTCCGTGGCTCATTCCATCCTTTCACGCACAGACAACAAAAAGCTCCTGGTTGTTTACATTCAAAGGTATGTTTCAAATTCCTCGCCAAAATGGCTCGTATGACACCATGGCAGAACGAGACGGTTGATAGGATTTAGAAGTTTATAAGTCTCCCAATAGAAAGCAAATGAAAAAAGCATTGCGAGAAGGTTGAGAATAAGTTGAATGGCAAAGTGGCGTCATTTGCAATGTGGCGTACGTACTTTGGTAGACTGCGAACAGCGTCACTTAACTGACGTCTCTTCCTACTGTGTCATTAGCTTTGGTGTGCTTTCTGTCGTCTGGTAGGTTATACAGGTTTTTTTCTCTTTTAAGTTTCATTATGGAATAAAATGGTGACTTTGTAGACACTGTTCAGAAGGGAACCCGTCGCGAGATTTTAGACCCTGTTAACAGGCGGAAATTAGACGTCTCAACCCCAAATCAAACTTTTTTCTCAGGGTTGGATGTCAAACCTCAAGCCCTGGTATTTTGGGCGTTTTTTGTACCATTTAATCAAACGAGAGAGCAACTTTCTGATCTACCTGAATTTTCGAAATCTTGACACTTGCTCCGAAGCAAGGGCATCATGCCGAGTCAGTGCAGTCGCTTCTAGCTAGCGGATTTTTGCGTTAGTTCGAGGAATCAGTATTTCCCAGTATGTGGTGTATCGAAAGCCAAAGGGAAAATGCGTTTCGCTTTTTCACACTAGCTCGATCCTCATGAGCTGAATTATTCGTGTGAAATGAGGCATTGGGGAAGGGCATCTTGCTTTTTCGCTTCTGTCCGCCAACGTGTCGAGCCATCAGAAAGGAGACCTGTGAAACTTGTGAAGTCATGAAGTTATGCCAACCAAACGTTGTAAATACTCCTTGTCAACACTTGTAAAATAAAAAACGACCAGCATGAAGCGGAAGTACAAAAGTGCAACACCTCCCCCTCCCCCCACCTTTCAAGCCAAAGTACGCTTTCGTTTTTGTTCATTTCCAATTGCCTTTATCATTTTTGCTTATCGCTGTTACTGTACAGGTTTTGAACCGGTCATGGCGACCGGTAATGTGATTCCGGAGAAGTATGAAACATTGACACCGATACTGAAGACTCCTATCAGTGATATATTTGCGATTCCACTGTCGCAACAAGGTGAGCATATTCAAGGGCTCCAACTAAGGCTGCGAGCTTCTGTTCGGTCTATCCTTTGGTTTTTATGCGAAAACTGAAAAAAAATGCCGTATGGTTGCTGAAGAGCATACCCCGAGAATGCCTACAGAAGACGTTTATACTTTACATCTCCCCCCTTTAAGCGTACGCCAGCGACTTGCCGCGAAACTCTCAAAACATTAGATCGATACTTATTTTTTGCTGACGCAAAGTATGAACGCAGCTTTACTAGTAGCTACTGCCCACTGACACAGAAATTCGCTTTTTGACCGCAATCGTGCAATGGATTGAAGGAGACTATTTACCTTTCACTGCCCCAACCATCCAGAGTTGTGCTAAGTGACCGACTTTTTTTTCCGTGCACAGATTTGGCTCAAATGTTGTCTCCTAAGGTAGTTTGACCCTTGAATACGAATATCACATTCGCTTAGCCCGAACTTCCTGGCGCCCGCGCCACAGGCGCCGGTGATTTGGGGTATTTTGGCGCCAGCGCCTGCAGCGCGGGCGCCAGGAGGTTTCGGGCTAAGCGGATGTGATATTCGTGTTCAGGAGGTCAGACTACCCCTGGGAACAAGTTTTCAGCGAATTTGGTGATTTAGTGTATTTTGGCGCCGGCGCCTGTGGCGCGGGCGCCAGGGAGTTTCGTGCCGAGCGGATGTGATATTCATGTTCAGGAGGTCAAAATACCCCAGGGAACAAATTTTTAGCCAATTCTGCCAACGCAGTAAAAAGTCGGTTGAAAACTGGCCTGTTTTCGTAAAATTTGAGAGTAAAACGGGTAATCTGTCACGCTCAGAGCGCGTTCAGACTTCGCGATCGCGCGTTCGGATCGCGTGACTAGGATCGCGAAGTCTGAACGCGCTCTCAGATGTCTCCTGAGGAACGATCGATAACGGCATTCTTCTTCGTTCTGTGAATCTGCGTTCATACCTTGCGACTCGGGAAAATTGACGATGCGAGCGAGTGCGCGAAAATGAAGTGTAGGTATCGAGCTAACGCTCTGAGAGAATCAGCTTTGCGGGCACTGATAGATTCCTACGTGTTCGCTCCGAGCGCTGATTTTTCCCGGTTCTCACGAATAAACTCATCTCGCCCTTGTTTTGTGACTTCTAGAAATTTTCGCGAAGTTTTCATCTGGTCAGATGTTTCTAGGCCGTCCATGTGGCTTTTTCGAAGCCCAATTTTTCCGTTGTATGGAGGCCTACGGCGCAAAACTCGGCCGCAAGTATTGCGATCTGGAGCACCGCGACTTCAAAGAATGTGTTACCAGTGAAAAGCAGTTGAAGGTACCTTTCTTCTTACTGGCTTACTTATTTTCAAGATCTTGTGCAGTTATAACCGAAAGAGTCGGTGTGAGGAAGTGCTGAGATTTCAGGCATGATACTCGTCGGGGCTTATAGAATGATAACGATGGGGTAGAAGGGAAAAAAAAAATCGATGAATGTTCCTCTGTCTGGATTAAAGAGACTAGAAGAAGCAAGGACAGTAAATCGGGTATGGGATTTATGGGTAGGTGGATAGCAGGAAAGTTTAGAAGAAGGTTGAATGGGTAATGGGAAAAAGAGAAGGAGAAGGAGACGTTTGCGAAAAGTGAGATCGAAATGAAGTAGATGACAAACGTACAAGTATTCGGCCTATGTAGAGGAACAGCAAAACAAATGGAAGGTGAAGTAACAAGCTTTCAGTAAGTCCTATATATGCTTTCATTTTTATGGGAAAGGGCAAAGACAGTCACCAATTGGTTTACGTTCCTTCTTTGTCCCAGTAGTCCAGTCCCAGGCTCGAAGCTTGCCCACTCACACGATTCCCAGCTGTGAGTGGCGAGGGTGCTGCACCCCTCGTAAGTTCAAATTCCCTTCAATACGACACCCACTAAGTTAGACTGCGACCTCAAAGTGTCCTCTTTCGGCTTTCACGCGGGACTCACTTGTTTTGGAGGGGCTGAGGACGTAAATCAGCCACTAAACAAGTGAATTGCGATGAATGAATGAATTGCGTGTAGATTTTCGATGCCTGCGCTCGTGCTCATGAGTAATTCTCTCTCACTTATTATTTTCTATCACCAACGATGTTCTTGCATTGGTGCAATAGTTCGTCAGACTCTTTTCTGTCACGAGTTTCGTCTTTACATCGTGCTTTTTTGTTGGTTTTTTCCACTTTACGGTTTCAGACAGTATTAGCACTGAAGGATGCGGAGAAAGTATTAGTGGCCCAGCATCCGCTTAGGGTGTGTCCAATGATCAGTTTGCTTTTTAATCGGGTACTATCGGGTATTGGCTTGCCTAACACCCTCTCTCCTTTATCGTGAGAAGAAATCTTAAACGCTGGTAGTGTTATTCTTATTTGAGGAAAATTCAGCAGTTTATCCCCTTCTCTGGGCACAGTTATGCTCTTTTTTTACAGCGTGCTGAAGCGATCGCCGCTCAACGCCGGAAGCTATACTGGCAAGGCAAACTCGACAAAGCGTTCCTGGAAAATCACCCACCACCAGGACACTTCAAACCGGACTACTTCGAGTGGAATACGATCAATTAGATTATGTTGTATTAGGTTATGTAAAAGTTAGATAAAGAGTGTCCTATATTATTTTCATCATAGACTGTAGAGCGTGTTGTGCGGAACCGTATCTCCATTTCGATACGGTGCATTAGTAATTGTACATTCTGTAAGTTAATCATAGAGTAAGTGTTACTAGGAAATATGTCCACTAGGAACAAGGCGTCAGAGGAAATCGAATTCACTCCTGGTCCATCATCACCTGGTTCTCTCTTTGGTCAAGATTGGCAAGAAAGGAGGGCGTATGTTCAACCCAGCGATAACATAGTCATTATGCTTGCTGAAAGGGAACGTGGCTATGCACGTAACGGTTAGTGATTATGGTCATTGTAACTTTATTCCTATCCCATGGAGATCCTGGTGTAGCGAATTGGATTATAATGACACTCCATATCCTGGAGATGTTATGGGCGTGACTTACGTACTTTATTCGAACATGGTGGCGATCGCGCTTTATGTGGAATATTAGCTTATCGAGTAGGTGTCATCATGTCCTGTTTTTGACGAAGGCATGTAGCAGTTGCCCACAAACCTTCAATATTTCAAAAAAAAACGCGCGGTAGCTCCCACCTACAAATAAAGTGCCCGACAAGGCTCACTTCTGACCCGGGATATGAAGTGTAATGCTTGCATGTGAGCTCTTGTTGATGATCTCCGTCGGGCTTTAATTCTTCAAGGTGGGAATAACACGGCTAATGTTGTTGCTCTGTGGGCATTCCTCTCAGAAATGTCAAATAATTTAGCCCATCCTTTGGGCTTCCTAGTGTGTGGCAAGTATGTGTAGTTACGGAATTGTCATAGATGAGCTGATTACAAACAAGCCAAACTCTTCGAATCAGCTTATTTGTCAACTTGTTGTACTTTACCTTCTTCCAGGCTGCTCCACCTCACCGCAGACCCCGTTGATGACTTGCGACGCCGCACTAGAGTCTTTGAAAATCACAAGCTTAGGAGAATTTGAGAATACTAGGGAAGGAAAGTAAGCGTGCTGGTCTCGAGAATCAATGAATTCGCGAAAAATATACTCATCGACGTTTGCTGGACTGACTAGTTGACGAGTCGGAGAATTTCAAAAGTGGAGGAGGATCGAGGATGTATCTGATCGTTTCATGGAGTCTCCCAATGTCCAGCGCAAGGTACTAGCGCGCCTTCGCCCTTACGGGGATTCCCAGTTAGGTAGTGAGCGTGTTTCTTCTTCAATTTCGTCTGCCGCTGAGGAAATGTGTCGACTGGTCGTAATTACACTAGAAAAAAAATATAAACAAGAAGTGAAAAATATGCATTATTCGTGGTTAACGTTATGTTACTAGTTGTACGGAAACTCTGGTTGGCTTTCGATTCTTTTTATTGTGATGGCAATCGGAATCCATTAAAACATGGGTCAAACGATTTTTTGGGAATCTTCCAAAATATTCCTTAGGTTAAGAATACTTTTATGCGGTGCATTAGGCAGATTCTACGTATTTCAGTGTTAGTTCTTTTCAGGTGTACGGCATGTTCGCAACCGACGTGAGTTTTATTCGACTGTAGCTATGGATCGTGTAGTAGAGGTGGGTAAGAGTCGTCGAACTCCCTTTTCTTAAGTTCCTAGCCATAATGTTTCTTTTTCTATTTCTGAAAGTTTTTAGGCATATTTGCTGCTTTCCGAATCATTGATTTGGTGTGAAGTACAACAGTGTTGGCCATTTAGTCCCGGGCAGCTTGCCTTCCTTGTGCCTCAAGATTTTAGCAGTTCCGAGCGGTCCTAACCAATACTGTCCTGTTCGTGGCTTTTAGAATTCGCTGAATGGGGTCTGCAGTGTTACTCTTTTCGGCATGTAAAATAACTGCATGTTTTCGGTAGTAAAGTAACTAAGCGTAACTATTAGCTTCTGATATGGCACCCCAACGCAATTTACCGGCCGAGACCGAATGCCGCTCCCCGCACATGCGCACAGAGTATGAGGGAACGCGTCTGTGACAAGTTTTTTCAAGAGTGATCCTAGAAGACTTAAAAATGCTAGAAGGCTCCATCAAATCTTTAATGTGGTAACTCCACGGGCTCTGGCAAACACTTTGATGAGGTCATATAGTCCTCGGTAAAACAATTTTCAAAGAGTTAATCATGATCGTCATGCCAGTTTTTGGCATGAATCGTTCCACGCCGAAAACTGAGCTTTATGCTTGAAAAACTGACATGGGACTTCATGACCTTCATTTTTCTCGATCGGGAGTCGTATTCTCTTCAGCTTTCAACCTAGTAATGTTCTGGCCCGAAGCAGTATTTAGAACTACATTTCTACCTAAAATTTAAAAAAAAACTGCAGTCAACGAGATTATGTCACGGATCGTGCGCTACAGTGATCTGCGTTTGTTCTGGAAAAAAAATCTAAGTCTGAAGATTATGTAAGGGCAAATAGCTTGCTTACCACGCGGGATCGAATCGCTTATCGGCTGTTGTCCAGGCCAACCAAACTTTCTGCTTCCGGGGACAGGGACGTTGGTACCAGATTCGTTTGGGAAGATAGAATCTAAATTAATGAACTTTTATGTGAAATGACATGAAAAAATAAGCTAACGATAATCCTTTTAGGTGCCGGAGGCTCGTCACTTGCAAGATCATGTGGTTTCATGGACACCTGATGGATCGAGGCTCATCACATTTCGTGTAAATCTACGTTCCATTCGAATATTTCGTTATCTGGGCGTCGAAAGCGCTCGTTCAAGTTCTGCCGAAGATATCTGCGGGGTATAGTTTTGCAAGAGTTCTATTCTGTCTGCAGCAATAGCGGCGATGTTCATTTTTTCAATCTGTTCTTCTGATGAATCAAAGAAGTCTTGCAGCGGTTATTCGAATTAGAATCCGAGGTGACCATGATGATGGGAACCTCTCGTTTGGAAAGTGCTTCTTTGCGGACAGATTGCATGCTTTTCACGGATGATGGAAATTACATGATCGTTGCAACAACAGCCCCGGTGAGATTCCTTGTTGATTTGAATTTCACATTTTTATTCTATCTTCTTCGAGTGTTCGCTTGCCAGGAGCAATCTGCCAGCGGATTTCTCTCCTTTTTCTCGCTTTTTGATTTAGTTTTCCAACCTTACTTTTGAAGTCTGCCTTTTCTGGCTATCTGCCCCTACCTCAGAGCTCATAGGAAACTTCTTTTTTTTGTAAATTTTCGAAATCTCGACTGTATGGGATGTACGCCGCCCCTTAGCATTATGGACCGGTCAGCGGTGAGCTCGTCTGTATCTTGCTTCCTCAATGGCAGTAGATGAAATCTGCCGTTCCCAAATCGTTATTTTTGAGGATTGGAAAAAACTGAATTTTAAAAGTATCAAGAGTTCAGCCTTCTTGTCTGGTCGCTATTGCTCAACAAGAAAATTTTCAGGCCCCTGATCAGTTGTTGACGATACCTATGGCCTATCCGAATACCGAAGCCTTACCAGTCACGAATTATAGTCTTGAAATCTATACGTTCTTCACGATTGATATCAAGGTGAGATCTATGTAGGCTCGAACCTTTTTCCAGCCTGTGCAGTATCCGCTGAAAGTGTGTTCATACTTCGCATTAGCGTTTTGAGCTTAGGTCGGCGTACGCTCAGAACCATAGAACGATACTATATTTTGCTAGTCGCTGAAAACGCTCGCTTCCGCTCAAAACGCTGACTCGGAGTATGAACGCATCCTGTGGCCGTTCTTACCCTCAGATTAGTGGTTTTTAGGCTAAAAACAGGAAGTGCTATTTTGCTCTCAGGAAGAGAAGAGATTTGATTTTGTCACAATCATGTGTGTTCCAGAAAGGCTCCGTAGCGCATTTTGTAATGTACAACTTTGATCGAATAAATCTCACGCATGGTGTGGCATTGTGCGGTACAACCATGATGATAATGTCATTGCAAAAGCAGGTGGTCTGGCTGTTCCATCATCTTGAATTAACTAGAATTATTTGCATTTCAATTTACTTCTCAATTATTTCCATGCAAGCTTCACGAACGCTCCTGAAAAACGAAGTTTTTCAGATTATTCACATGCTCCATGTGGACGAATTCGGTGCGATGATACCCTTGAAAGATATCGGCGCATCGATATGGGATGATGATGGGCTCTATCTTTTGTAAGTCTTCGTGAACCTCCAAAAACCGACTTATAATCCTTACCAAGCATATAATTTGTCCTTTACTAAATTGACCCCTATATGGTGAAACAAGGGTTGTCTGCAAAAATTGATTCCAGTGAAGTTGTGTTTTCACAACTTTGTCTCCAAGAGTGCACCTGTGTATAAATTTAAGCTTGAATAATCATTTGCAGAATTAGTTAGAGGATAAGGAATGAAAGGATAGTATCATCGTCGTTGGGCAATCTCTTTTTGGGATACGGTACGCATTCCACTTCCACTCAATCGTAGCGGCTTATTGAATGCGATGGCCTACACACTTGGGGGCAGCTGTGTAATTAGTCATTATTCTTTGCCTCCCAGGCGAACCTGATACCAATTTACCATCTCCGGAGGGTAGAAGCTTGGTTTACTTGGGCGAAAGCCGTTCCGGAATTTGAACCCCACACCGCGCGCCTAGTAAGCGTGCCATTTCCCTTTACACCACCTCCATCTCAGTTAGAGGATAGACTGGTCAACTGCGGCTGACTCGTATTATAATTATGCTTTTTGCCTTTTCGTAATTCCCCTCTGTATCTCTCTCAAGTGTGAAATCTAAAATTCTACCCCTCCCCCTCCCCGTTGTAAGCGGCTAGTGTTGCAGTTTCCCTGTACTTGCGTTGTACTGCCCCGGGCCTCCTTGGAATGTGAAATGTGAAATCATGAAGAGGCCCTGAAACTCTTATTGCAAAAGGTTCCACTGTCCCAAAAAGAAGTATCTGTGTAGTAGAAACGGTTTTCTGTATGGTGGTGCTTTTATGTTACATAGTTTTCAGTGGCGATTGTCAAGCAACGCCGACACGAACATCACTTTATACTGGTTTGAAGCAACGGCTGCTTACGTTTCTCTATAAAGAAGCCAAAAGAGAAGGCAATGTGGAGGAGTTTCTGCGTCTCACACCATCTTATGTGGAGAAGTTGCGAATGCATCGTGCCCAACTCTTTGATGGTCATTATCTGCTCGTCAGGATGTTGCCACGTAAGTGACATTGCTAATCTTTCGATATAGTTTTAGTACTTTTTACTATTAGATTTAGTACTTTTTTTTGATAACAAATCCGTATGTTCGCTCTGACGGGACACGCAAAACTTCTGGAGTAGAAAAAATTTATCTGAAACGTTGGAGTCAAAAATGAGGGTGGAAATGAGGGACAGGCTGCCAGTGAATTAGGTTGTGCGCACCAAAGTATTTTCCAAGCGAAAAGCTTTGGCGAGACCTTGGATATCCCTTTGTTGTCAGAAGCACTTGCTTTTCACGTGCTAGTCGTTGATACAATTCAGATACTTCCATACGGTACGATATTGCTCTAATGCCATGCTTTTTGTTCATATTGGACTGGAGAGATTGCGAGATTTTGGCGGTCTACCAAGAGGTTCGCTGCACTTCTTTGAAAAATGTTCCAGTTTAGTTCCTTAGTTGAATGCCTTGTTTTCAGTATGGACCTGAATTATTGGCTTTTTATGAGAATTTCGTCGAAGTTTTGCTGACTCCAACGCAGAATCCGCATCGATATCCGAAATCATTCCAATACAATCCACATTCGAAGCAGAAAGCACATTGGTTGATGGGGAATAGTTCAGGAAGTTAGTTTCTCTGAAACGTGTAGTTGACCTACTTTTTAATTCGACATGTTTCCTAACACATATACTCGATATCTCGACGACGGGAAAGAAGCGGTAGCGTACTCCTCTTGAACAAGGCGTATGATTTGTTTTCCTGGAATCCCTCCATTTGAGACAACTGTATTCCTGTCTTATGTCTGTGAAAACATTATCAAGATCTCAAAATGCAAGGGTTCCTCTAGAGGGCTAGCAGCCGCCACGTTCGAATGAATTCTCATTCACGCCCTCCGCAACTCAGGGTTATAGACTATAGGTCTACAATGCGGGGATGGTTCGACTCTTATCAGTCTCTTTTTGGGATATATCTTGCATTGAACTCCCATCCAGGTTGAAGGGAGCGTTTCAGTTGGGCTACCGAACGATCGTCAAGAAATGGGGATAGCTAAAGAGACTGGCGTTTTTAGCGCTCCTAGCGACGCTGGGATATGTTGATGCTTGAAACTTGGGGTTGGCTATCGTCGGCGCATGTCATTTATCATCTTTTATCATTCATACGCTGAGACATAGTTCATATCATCGCATCAGTCGGGGCGGTGTCGGGAGGGGTGGGATAAGCCAGTCCCGGACGCGGTTTCTACCAGTAGTGATCTGTTAGTTATCAATTCAGGAACAAACAACCAGTGGCAGAAAACTCTCGTTGGGATCATTAACGCCGCCTGACTAACTAACTAGCTAGCTAGCCAACCGCGACAAAACAAATTTATACATTCACTTTTCTTCATAGATCTTCACTTGTCTTAACAGTACAGCTTTGGCTTGCTTTGAACCTCAGGTTTGTCTGACCTGTCCTTTGGCCCCTTTTCTTTGCGCACCTTTCTTGTATTGAATCCTTCTAAGCTCATAAAAAATGTGGTGAGCGAGAACTCCACGCTACCCAGCAAGCACTTTGTCGGGGGGAACTTGCGTGAGAAAGAGGTAGGATTTCTCATTTCTCGACACCTTATTGTCCTTCAGTGAGGATCGAATTCACGTCCGTCCGGGTTTTCGGGACTCTCTGAGAACATTGTTTGAGTGACTGAAAATTCAATCGTCTTAGCCAATACTTTTTTCAATTCTAAATGGTAGATGAATGGATGAAGCATTCTATAAGTCCGGTCTCTGTCGGATACTTTCCTTTTTTTCATTCGTCCGGGCCTTAGTGATGAATTTGTTTTCAGCCATGTCTGAAGGAATGTATCGAAGGGTTCTATCTGTTCTCCCATTTTGCGGCTGTCATGTGAGTACCTGACACATGGAGCTCTATGAAGTACTGAAACAGCTATTCAGTTAACTTTTAGCATTCATCATCAGAAAATCCATTACCTTGATCCGCTCTACTTTTCGATCGATGAGAAAGTTCATTCGAATCTGATGTATGGCCGAATGCGATTTGATCTGGGGCCAGTGAAGTGAGTGCAATGTTCATTAAACTCAGAAGATGTAATAGTAATGAGTTCCCATCGATGTATTTCCGAAGTAGTTGGTGACAGCTGACCTCTTGTCATTCTCGGGATCTCTTAGCTGACAACAGCTGATGGTCATCAACTAATTTTACAACATTGCGCTCGTCGCTTATCGATTTTGACAATCTCCAGAGGTATCACTGATAAATCCTCTGAAGTGTTCCTCTATGAAATGGATTAATTACATTGCGTTGGTATTATTAGATATTATTAGTTATCACTACATGCGCTACGTTGTCGAAACCTTTCGAATCTTCAACTGTTCTTAACTGATATTTCGCTTCCAAGATCTCATTGGAGCTCCTTTCGGTACTTCTAATTTTTCCAGTGCTTTCTAATTTTTTATACTCCATCAGACCTCATTACTTCAGAGTGTATATTTACACTCAAAATCCCAGAGTGGTAGGCGTAGCTGCGTACTTCAACTTATCGTGGCGGTGGCTGTGCTTTGGAGAGATGTTTTCATTTCGGGACAGTTGTAATTATGTCTTTGTCCGAAACAGAACAAGGTGACACCCGCGAGTGGCCCCTTTTGCGTGATGTTCGAATGCCACGCCCACTCCGTTACAGGGATAAGGAGTGTGCCTACTTGCGATCAGAAATCTAGCGTTCGTTTTTAGAAACATTTTGTCGCATCTGGAAGCGTTTTCTCATTGTATAACTGATCTCTAGCACCCGACAGGATTACCTATGGATGTGGCCAAATAGCATGCTCTATAACCACGGCACCTCATGCCGTTGGAAAAATTTTGCCTGATACGACCGTTCCCCCAAAAATTTCCTCCCCTGGTACGAGTCCACTTGCACATTTCCCATCTCCACTTTTACGGAGCTCACTTTCAAAATTCTCCGGTCTTTCCACAAAAAATCGGCGTCGAGCGGGTAGGGGAGAGCTAGGGCCTAAAAAAGTCAACGAACGACTGCAAAATTTTTTTACAAAGGCACGTGTGACCCCCCTCCCTCTAACGACCTAAGACCAACGAATGATGTGCCCTGTCTATAACTACTCTCCAGGCCCTCATTTCTTTCCTTTTTCTTCTTGCTAGTTTAAATGTGATCTACAGCCAGCTGTAATCAATATTTTTATAGGATTTTCGCGAGGCGTACTCAACATCACGTGTGCTCACTAGGTCTACCGTCAGCATTAGCGTCGAAGAGTCCGGCTTGTGTGATCCTTGTTCCATCCACAGGATCCGTTGGCCATAGCGTTCGACCGCATTCGTACTGATCAGCCCTTCACTTTCTATTTACCGTCGGCATCAGAGGATCAACTGAAGGTACTCATTTAGCTTCTGTATAACAGAGTAATTGTGGCTCCGTAGTTCATCGCCATAAGGATCTTTTGAGCTTTAGAAGTAATGAAAAGTTCCTTTCAGCAAGATGAGAACCACAGCAACGGTTCGTGAGATGCATGTGGCGTTGGTAGGAATGACGGGATCAGGGAAGTCTGGTAAGTCTTTTGGGCTCTGATCGACTCAGGGGGTGCATTTTACACACTCGCTAGGTTCTTTCCAGTTTCTGTTAACTAACATTTCTTCCCTGGTATACTTGTAGACCCTTGTCATATGTAAACGAAGCGCATGCTCTCGCAAACTTTTATCGAATTTAACAGGCCTCCACTGGAGGCATCAGCGGTGATGGATAGTAACCAGCAAAATGTCCCCACTTAGCCGAACTGCGCCTTCATTTGAGCTCAAAGGGAACAGAAAGTAGGAGTGCAAATACGAAAATAAAGACTTTTTCGTTCAGTCGAACGATGGGGTGCTTAAGGTTGTGGAGCTCATTTTTATAACGATTTTTTGCATATTGTAGAGGTTCATGGGAGCTTCCGTAGCCGGCAGTTTCTTACATTCCTCGAAAGATTTTAATTTTCCGTGTTCATGTAAGTCCACATCGTTTGTCTGAACAAAAAGATGTTCAAAAGCACCCGAATTCTCAGCAGAAAAAAGTTTCCATCGTCGAGTACGTTGTGGGCTCGTAGAAAATTTTGACCGTCTTGGAATTCTCTGAAATCGCTGTGGAAATAAATAGCGCTCTGTGGCACACATGAACTTCAACAGCGGGTAAAAAGTCTTGAAAATGACTCCATGACCTGGAAGAACCCCTGTAAGACCCAGGGTTCAAATCGAAAACTGAGGCTGGCAATAGATGGCCATTTCGATGGCTTTCGAAGCCATCTTGATGAGGACGGCTTCAGAAGTTGTGGGGACAATGGTGTGCGGTCATCATGCGGCCTTTTCCCAACTGTGCGCTTGATTTTATGTTTATGCTGTAAATATTGCAGTCACCGCTACTGTAGTAACCTGTACTTCTTCTCTTATATTATGTGTTACAGCTATTGCCGTCAAATACATCACGAAACGATTCATTGGAGAATACGATTCAGGTTTAGGTGAGTCTGTTCTTCATCTGCTTCGTTGAGGCTACTTATTGTGGTTTCTAGAACGCTTACGTAAGTAGCTGGTTAGACGCCACAGCACTGATGCATTAAAGGGGCAGGGGAGGAAGGGGAGGGGGGTTCACACCTGTCAGAGCTTGTCTGCGTACAGTCCACCTGTAAACATATGAATAACAGACGACCTCCTCAGTTACCTGTAAGCCTTGTTAACAACTGTCAAGCATAC